ACAGTACCACCCACACACCCAGAAGCATGTGTTGCTTCTGCCATTGATGAACCCCAAGATCGTTCAGAGCGATCTCCCTTTCGTGCACCACAACCCCCTTCGTTACTTGATCTAGCGAAGGGGAAACACACTTACTTCTCTTACTCGGCCTCTGAAGCCGAGGAAGAAGAAGAAGTTGTCGCAACATCTGGAGATAGCTCCTCACTTGAGTGCTATCAAGGACATGATGGAAGTCCTTCAAGGCCTACATTTTCACAAGGCATTGAAGGCACCTCAGGAGCAGAGGCTCAACCTGCAGCATCCGTTGTTGCAGGGGTTACCCCCATGGCAGAACTGGTCACAAAGGCCGAGTTCCAAGCCTTTGGTTGACTCAGTTCAGCGGTCCTTGGAAGACCTAAAACTCGTCATCCAAGGGATTGTTGACAACCCACCATCCATCGATACCACCACCCTTCAACAATCCCTTGGCACCMTTCAACAGACCCTTACCACCCTTGCCACCCAAACCCGAGACAATACCACCCGTCTCCAAATGCTTCAACAAACCGTCACCCAACACCACAACACCACCTCCTCCCTTGCCACCCAAAGAAACCAACTCCTCATCCACTCCATCGCCACTCTCACGGCCCAGGCAACTACGACCAATAAGAACCTAGCCTCCATCACCACCTAAATAAACACCATCTTCCAGACCCTTAACGCCCTACCAGCTACCATACTCTCCCAACTCCCTCAACAAACCCACCCCAAACAACTCCATCAATCGATGAAACCCTGGCCTCCCTCACCACCCAAATGACCGCCATACAAACCACCCTAACCCAACTCCCAGCCACTATACTAGCCAATATACCCCAACCTCCACCACCTCCACCTCTCTCTACAGGCCCATCCTTCGATGCAGCCTTCTCCTCCTTCACTGCAGAGGTGAGGAATCTCTTCGCCAATCTTCCAATCCTCCATCGACATCTACCACCACCTCTGTGCCACCGCCACCTACATCTAGCACGGATTTTGCCACCAGAGCCGATCTCCGAGCTCTGTCCAAGGCACTTATCTCATTGTTCAATGAGATAAGTGCAAAGTTTGCTGCCAGGTCGGTTGAGCCTACCATTGCGCTGAGGAAGAGTCTTACGCAATAGCAAGATCGAACCAACACTCTTCTTCGCACCATGAAACAACGGCACAACAAGGATCGAATGCACACCTTGGCCGACCACATACGGCTGTGGAAAAAGAACAGGTCCAGGGCCTCCTGTTCATCAAGTCACCCCCTCAAATGACGAAGGCATGAGGATCCAGACCCCGATGATCAAGGTCTCGGTCCTCATGAGGGGGAGAATCAGGCCACCGCTTCACAACCCATGGAATCTGCTGTACCCTCAACATCCCATCACCAAACACAAAACTCACCATCTCCACCACCCCAAACACAACAATCTCCATCAACCCAAGCAAGGAAACCAGAGGCTCAGCCCTCTGAAGATGTATTTAATGTACATGTTCCCCTTGCTACCACACCTGAACCCATCATGTTGAGTTCCTCAATCGATGAAAATCCATCCACCTCACCAACAGAAACCAACCCACCTTTTACTCCATCACCAACACCAAACCTACCATTAACCCCATCACCTACCCCTCGCGATACACAACCTTTCATCACCCAACCTAATGAACCTGAACCACCCCAAAATGAGCCAACCCAATAAACCATCCCATTGCTAGTCGATACACAACCCACGACCCAAATTCAACCCCCAATCGAACCAACCATGATGCAAGAGGACATTCCCTCTTCATCAAGGCACCCTCTGCAGAGCCTAGTCGATGAAATAATCGAGAACATGGAGTCGCTAAGGAGACGTCCAGAGATACCTCCCAGGGAACCCACTATGATGGAGAACATCCATCAATATCTATACCACGATCGCGATGAAAGCTTGTCTCTCAATCCTCCAGTTCTATCGCCATAATCCATGGACCTCCTACACCATCGGTTCATTAGACAAACTACCCAACCACCACAACTTGTCTTCTCAAACAATGGAATAAGGATGGTAATGGATATCAAGATGAGGACCTTCGCCAATAGAGCTATTAGATATATCGAGTACACGATGGAGAGAGCTCATGGTCAGGTCAGCATCTTCAACGACAATGACTTGATCAATTTCAACCCCTACGACTTGATCGACCTTTATGCATTCACAACTCAGAGACAGGATCAAGGAATAAGATTTGGGATGGCAAATAGAACGATAGTGAAGACGATGGAGACCCTGATGAAGCACAGATCCAAGTGTGAATTTTAAATTGCTCTTCAATTGGGTATCGAAAGACTCTCCTGCACCCCACCGAATGAAGACTTTCCTGGACTGCAGAAGAAGAGATATGCCTCTGTCTTAACTCAACCCGAGCTTGGACTTGTCTTCAAGAATGAGTTCGGGGTAAAGAAAATTTTCAAACTAACTAAAGCCTTCAAGTATTCAACTGATACACTTGAGTGGTTTCAGAAGGTTATCAGAGAGAGGCTGGGCATAACTCATGTGCCAAGAGAAGATGGGAAGCAACTCATTCATGAGATATCAACAGTCCTCAGCTATCGAAGACTGCTTCTGCGCTTTTGGGAAATATCTCAATGTAGATCATGATGAGTTGTAAATTTTTTGCCTTGATATGAAATGTCTTTTGCTTCCAGTATTGTAAGAATTCATCATCCAATGAAAATTTAGAATTTGATGCTTTTCTTTAGAYTAGTCTCTGTTCTTCAAAATTGTTCATAGATTAGTTTATGTTTGTTCTTTCATTACTTAGGGGGAGATTGTTAGACCCCATAATTTATAAGTGCAAAAGTAATGAAGAACAATAAGTGATGAAGAACCAGAAGACTGATGAAGACATTAAGGCAGAATTGACCAAGTCTGGAGAAGAACCAAAGGGTCGATGAACAACCAGAGATGCGATGGAAAGAGCATCTTCATCACCCCTCTGGTCAACAACACTTAGAGTTTTCTTCAGCAATTCAACCAAAGGCACACGATGAAGATATAAGGATAAGGTTGAATCATCATCCCATGAAAGACAGCAGGAAATGACAAATTGACAGCTGGATTTCAAGTTTATCTTAATTTATAGCTTATCCATAGTTTAGATAAACTTTATCCGTTAGTAGAAGATTAGCTAAATAGTCTCACTAGATAGTTATCTTCTAATTAGTCTTCTAGTATAAATAGGTGATTAGGCCTATTGTTAAAAATGTCGTTTTTACGTTTTTCATATTGAATAAAGTGAAATCATTGGCACTCAAGATTATTCTTTGAATGTTCATACATTGTTCTTGAGTGTTCACCATTTTGTTCATTAAAACACTATAATTTGGTTATTCTTAACTCGATTATTAGTGTTATTGAGAGATCTGGGATCAACATCTTGTTAAACTCAGAATCTAGTTTATCATATTTTTCTTTAAGCTTTTTAAATTCCCTCTCATTATATACTGCCATTTTCAGAAATAAGATTGATCACAGGATCAAATGCATTGAAATCAGTTCAAAGAAATCAAAAACGATTAAGCTAAAAAACAAATCAGAAAAACAAACACAAAAACTGTTGAGAAATTAGAAAATCAACGAAAAACTGTCAAAAATCAGTAAAAACAGTCAAAAAACTGTTAGAACGGATAAGAAACAGTTTACGCGATGCAAAACAGTTCAAGAATCTCAAAACAGTTAAACACAAAACAAAAACAGATAAAAAAAATGATCCAAAATAAATTAAAGAAAATAAAACTCAAAAAGATACAAGCCCAAGATATCTAATGTGCCTATGACCGAGTTACAACAAAACTGGACAAAAGATCTCTGTTTACAATCTAAACATTGGTAAGAAAGAATTCCCAATTTCTGTTTACAATCGGACGACTTCAAAACTTGAGTAAGATTGACAGCAATTCTCATGTAAATCCACAAGCTCCTTTGCAACTCCTTTTTCTAACCTCCCTCACCATTAGATGCAGACCCTGGATGGTATCTAGCTTTAGCAACAAGCTCATTATAGTCTTATCATCCCCTTGAAGCCTTTTGATTTGTGCGATTAAGACTCTAAAATCGACAAACGTGAGCGATTTACCCAAATCCGGACAAGGGTTGATCGATGTAGATGAAATTCGGAGAGGATAATGTGTGATTAGGCTTATGATCTTCGATGAGCGATGACAAGAGCTAAGTAAGAAATCGATGTAGAAAAATAAACTGGATGGACTTAGATATGACAAATGGGCTAGATGGGCCTCTTGAACGATTTCGGAAACAAAAACAAAAAAACTAACAAAAAATTTAACCAAAAATGGATCAAAAACACTGGTTTTAAAAAAATCAAGAACACAAAAAAATTTCAAAACACAAATTTTCATCAAAAACACGAAAAACAATGATTAAATTGTAAATCTTTGTGTATAACAAAGATTCACAATGAGATTATGCACAGATTGATCACAAATTTAACACAAAAACACAAATTTTTAAAAAAAATTGGATCAAAATCTCAAAAAAAATAAGAACAAGATGAATATTAAGAAGAACACAGAAAAATTTCAGCAAAAAAAATTCGAAAAACCGTGATTTCTTCTCCTGATTTCGAGCAAATCCTGCTCTGATACCAATTGTGAGTCCATAATCAATCAATCTTCATTAAATCTTCAATAACAATGGCAGATCTAGATTTACAATCAAGAACTTGAGAGGAGAGTTGAAAGGATTTGTCAACTTAGTCAAACTTTCATAAACGTATAGAATTTTACAAATGAGCTCTTACCTAAAATTACACTAAGGGGCTGTTTGTTTGGCTCTTAATGGTGACATTAAGAGCCAACCTCTGAATCGGTCAGAGGTGAAATGTGTTTGGCAAAAAAAAACAGCCCTCTTAATCGTTACACAGACCTCTTAACCATTTTGAGGGTGGGGGGCTACTCAACCATTCAGATTACCATTTCTTCCATGAATACCCTTCCACACCCTTTACCAAGTAGCCGCGCCCATCGTCTCCCCAAGTCATCGCCTTGCCGGTTATCGCCTTCCCCATCTTCTCCGGCGCCGGTGTCGTCAGTCGCCCTTTCCACAGCCCCTTCGTCTCCCCAAGTCGTCGCCTCGTCGGTTCCCGTCCTCCATCTTCGTCGTCGGTCTCGCTTCTGTCAGGTATGTCTCGCCGTCCTTCCTGTTTTGTCGTCGGTCGTTAGTCGGTTTAAGTCGCCGGTCGCCGGTCTTCAAATCCCTCCCCCCACCCCACGTCGCCGGTCTTCAAATCGCTCCCCCAACCCTACGATCGTCGGTCTTCTTCTTCTAGCAGGTCTCACGTCGCCTTCTTCCAGCAGGTCTGTCGTCGCCGCTCGTCGCTGCCTCTCGTCGCCGCGTCTCGTCGCCACCTCTCGTCGCCGCCTCACGTCGCCGTCTCCGGTCGCCTTCCACAGCCTCCTTACTGCTGCATCCTCTCCTGTCTAGGGTTTGGTTTAGGAAATTTTTAGCATTTTTCTTTGGAAATTGATGGTGTTTGTTGCTAATTTCATGTTTGTAACAATGTTAATGATGATTGGATTACCAACATTTTGCAATTTCTTGAGAATTTGATACTGAGATATGAAGAACAACATCTTTTCTATATATCCGGCAGTTAGAATTGATTGTATTTCTTGAGGGTTAAAATGGTAATTTGTTGTAATTCAGAGAACAATTACCAAACAACCTTGTTTCATTCAGCACTTAACCATTCTGAGCCTCTTAGCCATTCTAACCTCTTAACTATTCTGAACTAAATCATTCATCAACTGCCAAACAGCCCCTAAGACTATCTATATATAGGGTCAAAGATGAACACTTCAAAGTCAAAGTCAAAGTACATACAAAGTCAAATACGATGTCTATTTTAATTATAGACAATAGTAACTTTCAAGACGAATACAATTTAACACTGATTCTCAGTCCTAACATTTCTGAAATATACTTGATTCTTAAGGAATTACAATGCATGTTCAGCGATCACTGAACAGACTCAGTGATGATCATTGAAACTAAATACAGAGATAGTACACTTCGTAAGGTAAAAATGATCATTATCAAATCATTGAAAGAGATGATCTCCGACATTTTAAAAAAACTAATTAATATTTAGTAAATTATTAAATAGTATCTAATTATAATTATAAAAAAAATAAATTTTAAAATAACTATTATTTATTAATAATTTATTAATCAATATTGGTCCTTAACATTTGCAAACTTTAACGGATATTGTCCCTAAACTTCAAAAACTTGGATATAATTGGTCCCTCATGTTTGTCATTTCATAACGATTTTGGTTCCCCCTCTTAATGGTTTTTAACATCTTCGGTTAAGTCCAATTAAATTAAAGGTATTTTAATTGTTTTAAACATGTTTATGTTAAATTCATCGCCACCCGGTTGAATGAGGGGTATTTTAATCATTAGAAAAATGTTTAAAATGACTAACTTACCCCTGGTTTAATTGAACTTAACATAAAAAGTTAAAGGGTGTTAGGAGGAGGAACAAAACCATTATGAAATGACAAACGTGATGGACCAAATCCGAATCTTCGAAGTTTAGTGAAAACATCCATACATCCATACATTCATATGCATACACATATAGATATACACACATAAACATAGACACATACCGATGATATCATATACACATACAACATATATATACATAGATCCATCATTAGCAACCAAAACATATACATGCACAATATACCTATATACACATATATATACAACATATACACACAGGTACACATATACATATACACACATACATGTATAATGTATAACATGTGTATACATACACATACATATATAGTGTATAACATATGTATACATATACATATGTACACATACACACATAGCAAATTATAGAAATATCAAAGTAAAGTTCATAGGGATACAAATTTTTAAAAAAACATAAAAACTTGTTGGTGAGAATCCATATCCATTTAGGTTGCGGGATAATGATAAAAAAGAGGGAAGGGATAATTTAGACGTAGACATTTATTTAGAAAAATAGGAAAAACACAATATTTTTTCATTCCATCGGTAAATTTTACAATTTCCGACGGACTATACGACTGATTGAAAAATATTTTTTTAAAAAGAAATTTCCAAGTGGTTTTTGGTGACCCGTTGAACAATCCATCGATGATCCATCCGAAAATTTGCATGTAATCCGTCCGAAAGTGTAAAGTTCACTGATGGATTACCGACGGGATTTGTTTTCGTCAGCAAAAATAACAACGGGGGGTTTCCGTCGGTGATTCCTTGAAAATTACTGACGGTTTTTTTATCAGAGAAATTCGTGAGTGATAACTTGTTCTCTAGTAGTGGTTCTTTGCACAACAAATGATTTATGTTATTAGATAGTTTTCTGCATATGTCTTGATTAGTTGCTTATTATCACTACAAGAAAAATGACCTTCAGAGAAGGTATTGTTTTGTACTTAAAAGTCTTAAAAGCTTATCTAAAGCCTTTAGATAAACTTTTCAATTTTGTCAAAGACCTTCTCTGTGTGACGGTAGGTGAAGGTTTCAGAGAGGGTTTTCGGAGGGTGTGTTTTTGTTAGCCTTTAGAGATGCTTAATTGAGGCTTTAAATACACTTTTAAAACTTCTCTAAAGGTTAGTCAACTTTTTATTCAAAGCTTCTCTAAAAGTATATATTAGTGACACTTTTCAAGTATTTGTGACGGTTTATAAGAGTTACTAAAAGATCTCAATCACATGATCTCTAATGAAGAAGGTTCTACATCGAAACACTTAAAAGTTTCRATGCCAAAGTCTTCATCTCGAACATGGTATCAGAGCCGACGGTTGGATCAAAATCARCGGAAGGATAAAAAAYGGAAGCAAGAACAAACAAGGAGGAACTCGATGAGGATTCTGCAACAACTTCGCGAAACACGTACACGAATCAATGGAAACGATAAGACCGCAAAGTGTCAAAGCAGTCCATTCAACTCTCGTGAAAAAAGCGAAACTAGGCCGAAGAAACCAACATGCTATCGATGCATGTTGAAGGGGCATTTTGTGTGGGATTGCCCAAGAAAGATGGCATCCTCGAGGCAGAAAACATCGATCCTACAAGCAACGAAAATCGGAACAAGCAACAAAATTCGAAGTACTCGAACTCTTGGTCCGTTGCTGCCTTATCAACAAACACACACACCGAAAAAATGGTCATAAACGGAGATTATTTGGTTATAGGTACGGATATGGGATCTTGGAACARCATTTGGTACGTAAATACTCAAATCTCTAAGCACATGTCTCCTACAAAGGAGATGTTCGATAGCTTTAAGAAGTGTCTCTTCATCAATGATGAAGAACGTCACTTTGATCCTATATATGTGCATGGTATYGGTGAAATAAGTTTAAATACGAACGAAAGAACGTATGTCATACCTTACGTATCATTCGTACCAGAAGTTAACATCAACGTTTTGAGTATGAAGCAACTTATACTTCAAGGTTTCGAAGTTGAAGTAAGTGATTTGAAGTGCAAAATCACTCATATGTGTGATGATTCCAAGAAAGAAACAAGAGAAAAGAAGGAATTCGGGAGTACGAATTCGAAGAAATGTGACAAAGGGAAGAAGCAGATGATCGAGGAAGAAGAAATCGAGATTTGTGGGAGTTTTGTGCCAGTACATATTAAAACTCTCGATGATTTTACCACTTTCATGATTTTGGTCAAGTATGACCGAATTGCTTATGCAAATAAGCAATTTTTTGAAAAGAAATTCAACGAAGCACTAGTATGGTTTTTTAAGATCAAGGACAATGAAGAAATCATTGTGCCACCGAAGGTTTCGGGACTGGAAGTGTGTCTATTCGATCTTTACAAATCGATCTTAGGTTATGGAGGACACGAAATCATCACCGTGAATGGACTTTCGAACGAGATTGCAGAGAGTTTTGGTTTTCCAGAATGTTATGGTGAGACATTTAATAAATTGTTTATAGATTATCTTCTACACCCACACAAATACTTTATTTTTGCTCAGAAATGGTACGGAAGGTACACGAGTATTAAGAGTCAGAAGTTCGGGAGTGTACCCGACAGGACTCAAGACACAAAGGGTTGTCAGGTTGATGACGGCGTAGGTACCTCGGATGGTAGATGGACCAGGGGGAATGGTCAGGAAGACCGAAACGCCACTAAGACATCAGTTCAACTCAAGGACAGCAAGGTATCAGAAGGTGTGCAACCAGAAGACGAAGACCCGAACATTAATAAATGTTACTCAGAGGAAAACGAAGACCCGAGTATTGATGGCTACTACTCGGAGGGAGACAAGGAACCAAGCGATGACTCAGTTGAAGGTGAGGATTTAGTGATCATACTATGAAGACTCAATATTTGAAGCTACCTAAAGACGTTTTGACATTTAGGAGGGAGATTGTTGGAATTGTTAAATGTCAAAAAAACATGGATTATTTTTATGTTTTATTTATTGTTTAATTATGTAAGAAAAGGGTGTCATGGGACACGTATTATGCATGCATGTAAGTTAGTTATCAGGGAAGTTGTAGAAATCGGTTATGGCATCCCATGCCAACTGACGTTATGCTTATCCTTTGCACCGGTTCATCAAGTATATATAAGGATCAGATGCTTCATTGTAAAGATAGTCTTCATATATTAAAAGTTGGTACTCTTCCCAAATCTAAGTTCTTGTTCTATACTCTGTGTGTGTGTGTGTGTGAATTCAATGGGTTCTTCAACTTCTAAAGATCTCAATCACATGATCTCTAATGAAGAAGGTTCTACATCGAAACACTTAAAAGTTTCGATGCCAAAGTCTTCATCTCGAACAGGAAGTTGATAGTTATGATCTCTAGGTACATTGCTACTTCTACATATAATGTTTGCCAAACGTGTTAATAATGGGCATTTTAGTCGGTTTATGCCATCAAACTTCCAATTACCTTTTTGATCATCTTCTTTCCCTACTCGGATTTATTTCTCTCATTAGCTTAAGAACCATTTTGATCTGGACAAAAACTGTACAAACAGATTAGATACTTCATAACACCATCAAAGTTGTGTGTAGACATACTCYATCACTAACTATTATAAGCCCTAAAATATAACATAAAGTGCATTATCTGCCTACTACCTCAAAATATTAATTATGGCCACTTACAATAGTTGTTTTACAACCAAAATCATCTCACAAACAAGTTATCTAGTAAGAGATTTGATATTCTCTAAAGAATTGAGCGAACAAGTTATCTCTGAAGAGCAACCAATATCACTTTAAAAACAGAAATTGGTTGGTTACTTGTTAGAGCAATCTATGAGATGAGAGATTCAGCAAAAAGTCTACATCATGCAAAAAGTAGAGTTAGTATCATGTCTAACAAAAACAAAAAARWTTCAAACATACAAAATTCATATCTAAGCTACTGACAAGTATTTCAAACAAAAGAAAGCCACATACTCAAAAACTTTCATTTCACAAAACAAGAATGAAAGACTTGCTATAGACTTGCCAACAAAAGACCTGAATGATGCAGTATGCCAGTCCTAGCATCATGAATAATGATTCACAGAAAACAATTGAGATGAAAGGTGAAAGGAGATATATTCTTGTTCTCCGCTTCATATGCAATTGAGAAAAGAAAGGAAAAGGATATTAAAGCTCTGGTGATCCTACAATGACTAACAGCATAACCAATATCAGCAGCAATCAAATGATAATTCTTAGTTGTAAAGATCAAGGGAAATAAACTAGTATCATTCCACATCAATAGGACAGTGTAGATGAGTTCATGTCATACAAACAAGTCCCTTTTTGGTTTCATAAATTCCTTATCATTTATAATAACTGATGACTTTTCCACGGTCATCCTTTCTAAACTAGCGAGATACAGGCTATTGACACATATCAACCTACCCACCTGCTGATGAAGGAGATAATAGTGCACAAAGGAAAGAGCCTTTTTGCAGCAAATCTTCACATGTCTTAATCTCTAATACATCTTTTAAGATATGCTCTGTGACTTTGTCAATACCTCCAATCTGTGAAAGAAACAATCAATTGTAATTACTCGAAGTCGGTAGAAAAAAAATTGGAGATCGAAATCAATAGATATAGGAGAGAAACCATGAAATTGTAGAGCTCTCACACCCTAATTCCAAGAGAAATCGAAGGGAAATCAATGAAATCGGAAGAACTCTTGTGCCCTAATTCGGAAAATCAATGATATCTTAGAACTTTTCATCGATCTCAGAGAACGTATAAGGTTGATTTATTAAAAAAAATAAAGACCCTTTTAGATACGGTTTAGAAAAGTATAAAATAGTAATAAAAACTTTTTGTTTAATTTAAAAATAAAAATAAAATATTTTATCCTTTAGAGACGGTTTTAAAAGCGTTACTTAAACTTCTGATTCAACTTTTAGAGACATTTTACATAAAAAGCGTCTCTAAAAGATTTAGCGACGATTTTCATAGCGTATTATTTGGTTCAAAATCCTACTCTAAAAGTCATTATACCTTCTCTTACAATTTTCATTTTTGTCAAGTAATTTCTTCCCTAAAGGTCACCTTTAGATACACATTGAAATCCTTCTCTAAAACTTTCTCTAAAACCCCTTTCTCTTGTAGTGTATTCGTTCACATTTGCTTCGATGCTACTTTTAATTAGGATGTAATATAAATTTTTTGTTAGTATCGTTTTGTCTTAGAGGACGGTTAGGCAGTCAACATGTTTATCAAATCACGGATCTGACTAAGGTCTGACCGAGATGTTGACCAAGATCTTACCGAGACAACATCACATTCATGCTTACCTGAGTAAGATCCATTCTTTCCATTGCTGCCCTTTTTTGCGATTAGGTTTCACCCCTGCTGCGTGACATTCTCCTTCTCCTTCATCGGTCTTCCTCCCTCACTGACTCTCCTCCCGTTGCCGTTTGGTGATTCCTCCTCCATCGTCACTCTCGACACTCCTCCCATCTCCCTCGTCGGCCTAGTTCTTCCTCATGCCGCTGCTCGAAAAGGTGTAATTTATTTACTGATGGATTTGTCGATCTGATCGATTTTACTAATTTCATTACATTTGTTGGTTTTTTTGTTTTCTTGCTTTATCTTAAATTGTATAAATCTTTTCTTCATTTGGGTTTATGGGTCTATGATTTTCTGGGTATACACATGATATATATATATATATATATATATACACATGATATATATATATATATATATATGTTTTCATATTGTGCATCTCTAATCTGGTCATTGATTTTCTATAGAAAGTAAAGGAAAGGAACCCTCTACACAGGAAGGTACATCTTGAGTATGCAACCTATGCCAATTACAAGTGTTTAGAAAATCATAATGTTTTGTTGTTCTTCTGGCTAGGGTTAATTAGCTATCTTTCCCTCTTGTTCTTATTAAAATTGTTTTTTGTTTATTTTTTGAGATTAATAGGGGTTTAATGATTAAAGGGAAAAAACTATAAATATCTTACTACTTTTGTTGGTCATTTTATTAAAATAAGGTTTTAATGATCATCTTATTGTTGGTAAACACTTACCAAAAGCATTTGGTAAACACTTAATTACGAGAGATAACATTTACTCGGTTATGCACACTTACCCGAACAACATTTATCCGGTAAGAGTTGGTAAATGACCACCTACCTACTTTTTTGTCTAGTTGGCTTTAAAAGAATAAATTTTTACTTGGTGTCTAATTCGTAATTGTTATTTTGGATGGAGGTTTAGGTATTGATTAATTATTTTTATGACAAACCAATTACCAAAAAAAATATATGTAATCTAGGGGTTATAATCACACCGGGAACCAAAACCAAAAGCCGGATTGAAGTTTGGGAAAGCCGTTGGTAACTCGAATCTCGATACCCCGTCGGTAAGTTTTACTGATCCACTTTTTCTAATGAAAGCCGTCGATAATGCCGTTTCCAACGTTTTACCGACAGTTTTTGCCGTCAGTTATACCTTATTTTTTAACAACCTAGCTAACTGAGCCGAAGATAACAGGTCTCTATCAATATCATGATATGACTTTTTGATTTTATCGATCTAAACCAAGGTGTATCTACCATATTATTAGGTAATTAATATAAGAGCAATAAGCAAATTATGTGTTACGAAGTCAAAACCCTAGATTGAGATAATCAAGGAGAGAACACATTTGTGTTCATTTTGTTTGACGTGGAATTTCGCTCTCCGTACAAAAAAGTCTCCGGAACATAAAAAGAACCACCGATTCTTTCATCTCTTCGCTTCATCATTCAATGAAAATTCTTGGACATGATGCATGGTAGAGACGACCACAATTTGTTGGTGATGCAAAACCCTGATTAATTTGTTATGAACCTCAGCGATTCGAGTCCAACGATCAAGATAATGATTCATACCTCTTCCCATGAAAATGACGGTAGCTTGGGCATGCCCAACCCCCCAATGAACCAAGTTGCCGTTGGCATTGATGATGATAAGCATAGCCCTCATGCGGTTCGATATGCAATCGACAACCTCATGTTTAACAATTCGTCGATTCTCCTGGTTCATGTTAAGGTGCCGAGATTCAATTCTCGTAGGTACCCTCTCTTTTTTCGTCATTTTTCTCGAACATCTCATTTCTAAGTTTTTCTAATATACAATTTTGTTGATTAAATGCTTCTATATTTCTGAGATAATAACATGTTCTCTATTCTTACGACGGGATGCTACTGGAAACAAAGATTACCGGAAAATGAATAATATTTTCAACGACTTTTTGCAGATGTTTCGGCTGGGAATGGAAAATACGAATCAAGTGATTTCGAAACACAACAGCTTTTCAATCGTTTTCGGACATTTTGTACACTAAAACAGGTATGTATTCAGAAAAATTTACTACATTGTTTGGTGCAAGTTCTTTTATACGTAAAAGGCTTTTGAATGTTGACTTAATTTGTCCATTCAAGAAATTTTGGTTAGGCATTAGGGAAGGAGTTGGTATAGGTTATTTGCTGCTTTTAGTTCCATGATCAATTCCACATACATACCTTCTGATTATTTGACTTTATGTACCATTTATACTTGAAGGCAGATGAAGAAAAATACTCCAGTTGATTGAATTATCAACCAGCTGCAATCTCATATAACAGTCCAGACCATTCAAAGTTCAAACCCACTTTTACAATAATAACCTCTTATGTCTTTTATCTTTATTCCACTAAAGAGAAAGGAACTAAAAATAATGGAGATGCGGGGTAACGAACCCCGTACCTCTCGCATGCTAAGCGAGCGCTCTACCATGTGAGCTACATCCCCGTTGCAGACCGTTCAAACCTACTGATCTTATTTTTAAAGTTTGCATACTTATCAGGTAAATTTAGTGGTTTTATGATGAGAAAGAACATATATATATATATATATATATATATATATAAACTCAACAGATCAGTGTATAGTAGTCTCCAATTAAACAAGTGAAGATCAAAATTTTTGATCATACCAAGTTTTCATGAGACTGATTAATGTAGAGCAAAAAGAAAATGCATGTCATACTAACAATTCACAAAGATATCACGAGTAGCCACTTCTCCAAGCTAGATCCTATACCAAAATACCAGAAGCTAGTATTATGAAAAAACCTGATGACCAAAAAACCTAATCATGGAGAGCCTGAAAATTCATCTAGGGGGTGTATAGAAACAATGTAAGATAATTCAAAAAAACCCTTTTTAAGTATATATATTATAATAACATATCTCCTAAAATAGGTGTAAAAAAAAGTTGAAAAGCGTAAGTGAGCTAAAAAACCTAACTATTTTTATATTTATGCAAACAAATACAAGATGTATGTAGATAACCATGTAAATAAGAAAAGCCCTTTGAAATACATAAAATTTATTGTAATAAAATGTGTATTCAATAATATAAAACATGTTTATTTTAGAACCTTTAGAAAATTTAGTTTTTATAAACGAAGAAAATATTATTTAGAATCCCTAATTTATATTGTAGATTATTGAGAGTGAGGCTAGAATAGTGAGACTCTCCTTGTATAGATTCTTGTACACGGTTGCTTGCAAATGAATCAAAGAGATAATTACATTCTTATCCGCAAATGTTACAACCCCATAAATGGTAAAATTATCATCTCTCATCATGTTAAATGGCAATGCCTGAAGTCGTTACCTTATCCGCAAGGAGGGGGATGCCGAAGGCAAGACTAATGACTAGAGTGAAGTTGTAACAAGGTAGCCGTACTGGAAGGTGCGGCTGGATCACCTCTTTTTCAGGGAGAGATAATGATTGTTGGGTATTTTGGTTTGACACTGCTTCACACCCAAAAAAAAAGGGAGCTACGTCTGAGTTAAACTTGAAGATGAAAGTCATCTTTCATTTCTTGACAGTGAAATAATACCAAGCTTATGAGCTTATTATCTCAGGTCAGAACAAGTTGATAGGATTTCCCTTTTTACGTCCCCATGCCCTTTGTGTGGTGACATGGGGGCGAAAAAAGGAAAGAGAGGTGAGTCCATTTTTCCTTTCACTCGTCTTCATCCTCCTCCTTTTTGCTCTTACTTCTTTCTCGACACCAACCCGTCACCTTTGCTTTCCTCTCTCTAAAACCCACCAACTCCAACCAACCCCTCCCCCTTTCCACTTCTTTGTCTACGCCACCCAGTCCCCCTCACTCACACACTCAAACTTCCTCTACTCAAATCCCTCCCTCACTCATGACCCCAACCAAGACCACCACCCCACCCGTGACCACAGCCCCGCCCCCCTCATCAATACCCTCCCAAACCGTCCCTCCACCCAACGCTCCAACTGTCTCATCCACCTCACCAACTCAACCTCCCATAACTGTTTCCACTCACCATATGACTACCCAGGCAAAATCCGACACGTTTAAACCCAAACAACTCTTTAACCTCTCATCCCTTACGCAACCCTCACCCATACCAAAAATTCCCAAACTCGCTATGTTCGATCCAAATTGGAAAGTCATAATGTGTGACAAATTTACCGCGTTAATTGAGAATAAGACGTGGGAATTAGTTCTTCATCCATCCGATACTAATATTATTTGCTCTCTGTGGATTTTTCATCACAAATACAACTATGATGGATCTTTTGAGCGGCACAAGGCCCGTCTTGTTGGTCATGGCAGGTCTCAGCAAGTAGGCATAGACTACGATGAAACTTTTTAGCCCCATGGTTAAACATGCCACTATCTGGTCAGTTCTCAGTCTTGCTTTATCTAAGTTATGGTCAATTCACCAGCTTGATGTATAAAACGCTTTTTTGTACGGTAAGTTAAATGAAACCGTTTACATGCACCAACCGATGGGTTTTAGTGATTCACACCATCCTAACTATGTATGCCTATTGAAGAAATCGTTATACGACCTTAAACAGGCTCTACGTGCATGGTACCAAAGATTTGCTGATTATGACTCAACCCTCGATTTTTCTCATAGTAAATGTGATCACTCGCTTTTTATATATCGTCAAGGGAACGACATCGCTTATCTCTTATTATATGTTGAAGATATCATTCTCATCACATCTAGTGACCATCTCTGTTCCACTATTATGCGCTCCCTAAGCTCCGAATTTGAGATGAAAGACCTCGGACCCCTAAGTTATTTTCTTGGTATTGTTATTACTCGCCATAAAGATTGCATCTTTCTATCCCAACGGAAATACACGAAGGAAATAGTTAAACAAGCAGGTATGACTTCTTGCTCCCCATACACTACTCCGGTTGACACCAAGGCCAAAGTCTGATCCGATTCCGAACCCCAAATTAGTGACCCAACTCGTTACGCAGTCTTGCCAGGGCTCTACAATACCCCACCCTTTCACGATCAGATATATCATACACTGTTCAACAAATATGCTTACACATGCACGATCCACGAGATGAATATATGAGTGCGCTAAAGTGCATCATCCGATATATTCAAGGGACTCTCAATTTGGGCTTACACTTATACAAATCATCTTTTGACTCCCTGATTTCTTATATCAACGTTGATTGGGGAAGATGTCTTGATACCCGTCGATCCACATCTGGTTACTGTGTCTTCCTTGGGGATAACCTTATCTCATGGTCTTCTAAACACCAACCCACCTTATCCTATTCAAGTGTAGAGGCAGAATATCAAGAAGTTGCAAACGTCATTTTAGAATCTTGTTGGATTTGCAATTTATTGTTAGAGCTACATTATCCCATTCGGAAAGCCAATCTAATCTATTGTGACAATGTCAGTGCCATATACTTATCTGGCAATCATGTGCAACATCAAAGAACTAAACATATTGATATGGACATTCATTTTTTCCAAAAAAAAGTCTCCAGTGGAGAAGTTTGTGTACTACATGTCCCATCTAGATACCACATTACCGATATATTTACAAAAGGGGTTCCGCACATCCTGTTTGATGACTTTCGCACCAGTCTTAACGTACGAGAACCTCCTGTTTCCACTGCCAGGGTGTGTTAGCAATATTGTATTTATAGTAAATATCATTTAGAATCCCTAATTTATATTGTAGATTATTTAGAATCAGTGACTTATTGTTACTTTCCTAGAATAGTGAGGCTCTCCTATAAAAATTCTTGTACACTGTTGCATGCAAATGAATCAGAGAGAGAATTACATCCTTACAGTAATTAAGGTTTGGGACTATATCTAATTTTATTTTTGATATGGCTCCAAGGTGGCTCTGCCCCTACATAAAATTTAATATAAAACAATTTGTGCATTCAATTTTGGACATGCAGTCGTTACTACCATGATACTTTATGGATTGAACTAGGATCCCTCCATAGCGAAGCTATCGTTCCCCTAATCTGTTAGTTTGTTAAACGAAAGAAGAAACCAAAGGACCCTTAAGAGTTTACACCTTGATTTTGAGAATTATTTAGTTGGGTGAGAATTATGATGGTTCTAGGGTTTTTTTGTTGTTGGTATTGATGTTTGTGTTGATTATTATATCATAAGATCTAGGGTTCTAGTGATTTGGTTAGGCATTGCTTCTGTTACAGGTATTTTGTTGCGATTAGGGTTCTGATAAAAAAGCTCGTGAATAGTTGATAAAAACTGACAAATCACATGACTAATCACTAGGAATGTTTTTTTTGGTAAAGGGTTGGAACACAAACAATTTTTATAAAGAAATAGACACTTAGAAAAGGGATGGGCAACCCATCACAAAAGGTTACCCAAGAGATGCTACAGAAACATTGCTAAATCAGGTCTGGTGCTATAACCTAAATTGTTAACAAGAAGCCAAATGCTCTACCTAGCAATCATAGTTCTATGAACAAAAATTCAAGCACTCATAAAAGGATATTTGTAATGCGATCCATGATTCTTATGGATGAAATAACCATCCCCCAAATATAACTACATTATGATGGTTCATGTACTGTTAGAAATACCTCGCATTGGTATATACACAAAAATGGGTATGCATATTGGCCAAAAGAGAGCACAAAATATCATCGAATCATAACCCACACAGTACTGGTCAGAGAGTAACTAAAACAATCATATATCCAACCCCATCTGGTCTGGCAGCTAACAACTCATGACTAGTTTATGACGATCTGAGCGTGATCCTTAGTTTATTACGGTTTGAATGATGTGCAGTTCATTGTGCATTATACATGAGTGTAAAACTGTATCTTTACTCAAACTAATAGAACCATTATAGCACACATGAAGAATACGAGAAAGTGTCCATCAAGGTTGGAGAGAGATTTTTCATCCAAAGTACTTGTGCATATGCTTGAGCTGCCACGACATTCCACTTTGGTTGTGGATAAGACGACGAATTGTTGCTTCTTAAAAACAAAGAATAAGGAA